AATGGTAGCCATTTGTAAGGTTTTAAGGTTTGCTTCAAGGATAATAGAAGTGTGCTGAAAATAAAACTATTAATCATCCAGCAAATTTAAGTGCCTACTGTGTTGTAGGCACTGAGAGATTTGGAGGTTTAAACAAAATACAGATAAAATGCCTGCCCTCCAGAAACTTATACTGTTTTCTGATCTTTAAAAATCACCATATTGTTGGTGTTAGGAATTTAAAAATACTAGCTAATGTTAATATTTTAGAATTATCTCATAAATTCATAGAATTTCATGATTCTTGAAATGAGACTTAATATCAGTGGCCTCCTAAGATATTAACCTTATCGATGTGTGACATTTTCCAAAGCAGTGGTTCTTGAAATTCACTTTCTAATACACAATTAAACCGTGTTTTGTTTGGTGGTCATTGGTAGGTTACTATAGATGGGAGTAAAGTCTAGTATTTGAGAGATGGACTCTGGAGCTACCTGCCTTGTTTCAAATCCCAGGAATACTAGGAACTGTGTGACCTGGAGCTAGTGACTTAACCTGTCAAAGTCAGTTTTTTTCATTTCTAAGAGGTGGGGGAGTGGGGCATAGTGCATTCATTGTACCACCCACATAACACTGTTATAAAAATTAAATGAATTGATGAATATAAAGCATCCAGTAAATCTTAGCTGATCTTGTGTCCAATGATTATTCAGTATTTGTGTTTTATAAACTGTTTTTAGTGTTTTATTGGAAAAATACTAAAGAACATCAAAAAGAAAAACTCATTCATAATCCCACTCTTTCTCTCTTTCAATTTGTTAAAGTAGGGAGTAGAAGTCCACGTTTTCTGTCTTTCCACCTCTCTCCTTCCAACCTCCACCCCAGTGGAATCACTATTAATAGTCCAGTGTATTCTTCCCAACTTTCCCCAGTGATTGTGTATTGACATAAAAGCTATGTGACATTGAATTCTTAAGGAAGCAAAATGGGTCTAGAAGTTTGCCTGCAGAATGGATTATAAGTGCTATATCCCGACCAGTGAGAGTAATTGCAGAAGCACAAATAACCAAGTAGATACAAGAAATTCTAGTTGTACATTTAGGCTGTGGGAGAAGGAGAAAGTTCTTTTACTACTTTTATTCTATATCCGAGAAGGAAATATAACCTCATGTTGAGTCTACCACAATTAAAAATTCTCAAAGCTAGTTAAAATTGGCAATGAGCATTTGTCACTTAGCTTGTAGTTTCAAACATCATGCTCTCCCATGCCCTATGGCATTGTGCCCCCACTCTCACTCTGACTGATACACTGTCCCACCTTTCTTCACCTGACTCACTCTAGATCATCCTGCAAGGCTCACCTCCTCCAGAGCTAAATGCCCCAACTGTTTGCTTCCATAATAACCTGTGCATACCTCTCTTATAAAATTGCTGTTTGTGTCACTTTTTCAAATTTTGACCATAGCTTCCATAGGGAGATCACCATATCTTAATCACTTTTGTATTCTTAGCACCTGATATGGTAACTCACATAAATTAAGATCAGTATGTGTTTAATTGACCTGAACTGGCTACCTACCTATTGGGAAAATTAGCTACTTAAAAAAAAATCCTAGTATGGACTCCAAATGGGAAAAAGTTAATTTAATTGTAAAATTGACCTCATTTGAATTTTGTTCCAGTGTAGAGTAAATAAACTTGTCCCTTAGAGGAATTCTGTTTCTTATGTTTGAAAGAAAAATAAAATCCTTAACCCTAATATCAAATCTGTCTTGTCTCCCTACTTTTACAAATTCTCGGCAAATTTTCTTATAGCTTTCTTCACAGAAAAAGTAGAGGTCATTAAGCATGAATTAGGTACTTCAGTTCTTTCTTACATCACCTACATCTTCACCTACTTTCTTCTGACTTTACGTGAAAAGGTGACTCCCTGCCTTGTAATAGTAATTCTTTCGTCTGCGTTCTTAATTCCGTTCCTGTTACTTCTCCATAACCTCATACAGCACCCTCCAACTCTGGCCTGTCTTCTACCTTGCCTCCTCCATGGGCTTCTTCCCTGCATGCTATGTGCATGCCCAGTTCTTTCATCCTTACTGTCCTTTGCCTTCCCTTCCCTTGCAGTGGCTGCTTTCACCCTTTATTCCTTTCAGGGCTAAACTTCATGAAATATTCTGCCTCTTCAACTTCCAATTATGCCTTAATTCACTGGAGGTCTCACTTTCGTCTTCACTCTCCACATCAACAGTTTCATGCTATCAACTTGATAGCAGACATTGTAATAACCACATATCACGGGCATGACCCCTTTGTGGCTTTTGTTACTATGATGGCTCCGTTTTTGAAATTTCCTTCTTTTTTGATTTCTCCGACATTTCCTCTTGGGTCGTTACCTTGTGTCAGCTGCCCTTTATGTACCTAGGACTTGCAAGTTTATATTTCTACTCATGAACTTCTGATCAAAACCATCAAAATGCTGGACCTCTTCAATTTTATATCTCACTTCAAATAAAAACTTTCCAAACCAAATTTATTATCTTCACCATGATGCAATCAGTTGCTTCTAAAATCTGGGACATGGTGAAAGGCCCCACTCACCATACAAGTTAGATACTGTAGTGTCACCCTTGATAACTTTGCATGTAATAAGTCAGAATACTTGTCTCTAGTAACCAAATATGTCTTGACTTAATCTCCTTTCATCCATCCTTTTTGCTGCCTTAATTCTAACCATCTTTATCCCTGCCCTGAATTATTTCAATAACTTTCCATTGGTTCCTTGCCATTCCTCTTTCTAACCAGCCTGCCACCCAACAATTCATCCGTTACTCTGTAGCAGGAGTTAGCAGGTAGAAATAGAATCACATCCTTCTGTGAACCTTCAGTGAATATCCATTTTCTATGGAATGAAATCCCTACTCCTAGGAATGGCAGGAAGACTGAACCTTCAAAATATGACTCCTGGGTTCCTTAAAAAACTAAAAATAGAACTACCATACAACCCAGCAATCCCATTACTGGGCATATACCCTGAGAAAACCATAATTCAAAAAGAGTCATGTACCACAATGTTCATTGCAACTCTATTTACAATAGCCGAGACATGGAAGCAACCTAAGTGTCCATCGACAGATGAATGGATAAAGAAGATGTGGCACATATATACAATGGACTATTACTCAGCCATAGAAAGAAACGAAATTGAGTTATTTGTAGTGAGGTGGATGGACCTAGAGTCTGTCATAAAGAGTGAAGTAAGTCAGAAAGAGAAAAACAAATACTGTATGCTAACGCATATATATGGAATCTAAAAAAAAAAATGTTATGAAGAACCTAGGGGCAGGACAGGAATGAAGACGCAGAGAATAGACTTGAGGACACAGGGAGGGGGAAGGGTAAGCTGGGGCGAAGTGAGAGTGGCATGGACATATATACACTACCAAACGTAAAATAGATAGCTAGTGGGAAGCAGCTGCATAGCACAGGGGGACCAGCTCCGTGCTTTGTGACCACCTAGAGGGGTGGGATAGGGAGGGTGGGAGGGAGACGCAAGAGGGAGGAGATATGGGGATATATGTATACGTATAGCTGATTCACTTTGTTATAAAGCAGAAACTAACACACTATTGTAAAGCAATTATACTCCAATAAAGATGTTAATATATATATATATATGACTCCTGCCTACCTTTTTTGTCTTCTCTCTGTTACTTCCCGCCATGGAAGAGTAAACTGTTGTATACTAGAAAAAAATTGTTAAAACAAACCATTGATTTACCTTTCTTGATAAACTAACAAACTCTTTAGGTAAATAAGGAATTCTTTTAGTTGGAGTCAACCTGGTACATAAGATATTTTGGGAGAATATGTCCTGAAAATGTTCTTCTTAGGTAGCCCTTTGAGCTAAGTATTTCTTGAAATAACCAATGTAATTCTGTATAGCAGAAGTTATACAAGTATTGGCTTAAGGTAGCATTTCTATTTAATATGATGCATTTTTAATATGTAGGTCGTATAGCTTAGAATATAACTATCTCCCAGGCTTCTTCAACAATGAATTTGAATATTGAACTCCAAAAATATAATAGAAAATAAATCTTTACTTATAAAATAAGTGCATTTTTATGACAAATACTAGTTCTTTGCAGATATTTGGGAGGTGATAGGGGGATGAGACAGACCTTCCTAACGTTTGTTGGCAGTATTGTGTGTGAAATGCTGCTTAACTAGTTATATAATAGTCTATGCTACAAATGTCCTAATTCTTCTCTAAGGACAGTGCTTTGTGGAACTTAATTCATGCCATTGGTATGAAAAGGCATGAGAAGTTTGGCAAAAACTTTAACGTAAATCAGGGCATTTATGGCAAGTCAACCTCAGTTCATGTGCCTTTCCTTTAAAAAGAATTGAATATATAGATTGGGAAAACTACACTTTTGAAAAGAGTTAAAATTTGGCATTCTCCTTTCTAGGGATCAACTGCAGTCAACACAGGACTACTTTAACCAGTATTTCAATTAAATGATAATTAGGGGTGTTAATCTGGTGGTATAATGATTTTTAAAGTGTTGTGTCTGGGTATTTATTTCATTTCTTTTGGGTTTTCTTTAATTTCTCCATCCTATCTGCCAGATAGGAAGCTCTCTTGAGAGCAGATAATGTGTCTTGGGCACTTTTAGATCCTTGATACCTGACCACAGGATAGCATGCGGGAATTGCTTCGTATATGAATAAACCCATCCAATGTTAATTTTAATTTTATTCAAGAACTACTCAAATGGCGTAGTGGTTCAAAATCTCACAGGAAAAGAGAATTGATGTTTTGGCAGCTCAGTGACTAAATTTTCAGGTGAAGCAAGTTGCGGAATTTAAGTTTTACCAATCCTCTGGCTTCCCCTTTTAGCATTTAACAGATTAAAATTCACCCTAACACTTTAAATTATATACTAAAATTAAAAAAAAAAACTATTATGTGTGTTTTTGGCTTGAGATTCTTTTTAAACTTTTTTTTTTTTCTATTTTAGGAAAGAGAAAAAATATGTCGACAGATGCTGGAAAGATGTTACTGTTGGGGACTTTATTCGCCTTTCCTGTAACGAGGTTATTCCTGCAGATATGGTTTTACTCTTTTCCACTGATCCAGATGGAATCTGTCACATTGAGACTTCTGGTCTTGATGGAGAGAGCAATTTAAAACAGAGACAGGTGGTTCGGGGGTACACAGAGCAGGTAAATAATGTGTTCTCCATTGGTGACATAAACATTTTCTTTTCAGAAGATATCTGAGCTTATTTTCACATGTACAGATAAAGAGACTTTTTAAACTCATTTTTACCTTTACAAAATGGAATTCTAGAGAGCTTAATCCAGTTCCAGATATCAGTAGAGGTGTGCTATATTTTATAGATAATAGGGTTTAATGACTTCAGAGTTCAGACGTTTCAGTCTGACAATCATATATTTCTGGGAATTGAATTTAAGAAACCCAGCAAATTTTGCAATTTGGAAAATTCTTTTGCAGTAGAAACGATCAACTTCTAACTTATTTTTCTTAAACTTAGATTTTTATATGTTATGTCTGATTGAAGCTGGAGGTATCAATCGGTCATTTTTCCTAAAATCTGTAATTACTTATATACCAAGGCCTTTTAAGAAATTTGTAACTTTTCATGCCACAGAGCTCTGACCCTTCACCATGCTGTGGTGAGGTAAACAAGACCTTTGAAGTTATATTAACACGAGTTTGAATGAATCCCAGCTCTGCCGTTTAACTGCTGTGTTACTTAACCACTTTATGCCTCAGTTTCTTTATCTTAAAATGGAAATGATGATATTTGATCTATTAGAGAATTTTGTGACATATTGATATTTAGCATATTTTAATTTTTTAAATGAAGTTTGCTGAGATCAAATGCATACGTGCACAGAGTACTCATATGTATACATATATGTGTGTATATATGTATAAATACACACATAATCTCAGAAGCTACGTATATGGTTAAAGAATGCCAACAAAAGTATTTTCAGCTTTTCAGTGTCTTCCAGATAAAAGAGTGTGCACTGTAGGAGGAGAAGCTCTCTCCTGCAGGGAGTCCTGCATGGATTCCAGTATATGATTCAGACATTCCCATCACCTGAAGATATTTATTAATACTCTGGGACCATTCTGATCTCATTTATTCATTGATAGTTATGCCTATACTTTCCTTCATTTGGGCAACTTGTGACAAATTTTGTGACAAGCATGCCTTCGTTTTATCTTAACAATTGGTGAAAGGATAAACACTTAAATCTCAAGATTTAACCTTGAATTTTTGTTTGGTGATTAAAAAAAAATAATAATAAATATATTTATTTATTTATTTATATATTTATTTATTTATGTATTTATGTATTTATTTATATATTTATTTATTTATATATATTTATTTATATATATATTTTTAGGACTCTGAAGTTGATCCTGAGAAATTCTCCAGTAGGATAGAGTGTGAAAGTCCAAACAATGACCTCAACAGATTCCGAGGCTTCCTGTGAGTGATACATGGCTTACCTTTGTGGGTGTGAGTGGGATTGTATGTTGCAATTATGCTTAATTCAAAAAAACTTTTGTGTACTTATACCAAGTTAAATCACTAAAGGCTGTAAGTTAAGCCACCTATAAATTTGGCTTATTTTAATTATTTGATATTTACCTATGTATATTTTTAAAACAACAAAACCTTGTTCTTAAAATAATCCTAGACCCTCTTTCAGTGGTATGTGAATGACTTAACATGAGCTCCATGTTAAGCCCAAGACATATTAGTTATTTGGAAGGAAGTGTTTGGACAGACACGGCAGCTTAAGTGACATGATAGGATGATGGTGTTCTTCTATCCTATTAGAATTAGAGTAGGTGGACAATTCACTTGGTAAAGTTAGCCAATGATTTTGAAACACATCTAAGAAAAAGTATGGGAATCCACAACAGTGTTCATTCTGGAGGCTTCCTGTGGCATCTACATCCCTTTCCAAGGGCATCTAGAAGTTAGAGTCTTATTTGATTCAGGCTGGCTTGTGCCACTTAAGTGCTTTATTTTTTGAGCCAAAAAATTTTTTTATCCTTCCTAATTTTTAAGAGGAGTTAGTTAGACCTACTTCATAGTGGTGATCTTGTGAGGAAATGGCAGAGAAGAAAAAAGTTCCTAAATCATTTTTTGAGACCAGAATTACCCTGATACCATTACCCTGATACCAAAAGAATACAAAGACATTTAAGGGAAGATTAATATCCCTCATGAACATAGATGCAAAAAATTTACACAAATTATAGCAAATCAAACCCAACAATATATAAAAAGGTTAATACATAATGACTCAGTAGGTCTTATACCAGAAATGCAAGATTGGCTTAACATTAGAAGATTATAGAAAAAGCATTTGACAAAATCTAACTTCCGTTTTTGCAAACTGGAAATGGAAGGGAACTTTCTCAACCTAATGAAAGGCATCTATAAAAACCATACAGCTAGGATCAGACTTAATAGTGAAAGACTAAGTAAGCATTTTTCCCCCAAGATCAGGAACAAGACATGGATATTGTCTCTCACCACTTTTATTCAAGATTGTACTGGAGAGCCTAGCTAATGTAAAGAAAATGAAATAAAAGCATCAAGTAATAAAGAAGTAAACCTGTCTTTTATTCATAGATGGTGTGATGGTCTTTGTAGAAAACCTGATGAAATCTACAAAAAAAGCTACTAGAATTAATAACTAAGTTTAGCAATGTTGTACAAAACAAGATCAATATACAAAAATTAATTGTATTTCTATACACTAGCAATGAACAGATAAGGAAACTTTAAAAATCAATTTATAATAGGATCAGAAAAATTGAAATACTTAAGAATAAATCTGACAAAAGATATGAAAGACCTGCATACTGAAAACCACTGAACACTGTTGGGATAAACTAAAGACGTAACTAAATGGAGAGACATATGTTGTTCATGCGTTGAAAGACTCAATATTGTTAGGACATCAACTTTTTTCACAAATTGATCTATAGATTCAGTGTAATCCCAATTGAAATCCCAGCAAGGTTTTACTTTTTATTTTTATTTTTTTTAGAAATTGGCAAGTTTATTCTAAAACTTTATGTGGAGATAGAAAGAACCATTTGACTAAAACAACTTTGAAAAAGAACAGATTTGGAGGGCTAATACTACCAGATTTTGTTTTTGGCATATAGACCAATAGGTCAGTGGAAGAGGTTAGAGTCCAGAAATTGATCCAGGCATTAATGGGCAACTGGATTTTGACAAAGATGCAAAGGCAGTTTAGTGGAGAAAGGTTAGTTGTTTCAACAAATGATGATGCAACAATTATACATCTATACTTTAAAAAAATACTTTAACTTAGACCTCTCGCCACTTAAAAAGATTAACTAAAATGATCCTGTACTTACTTAAATGTAAACCTGAAATTATAAAACTCCTAGAAGAAAACAGGGGAAATCTTTGGTATCTTGTGTTAGCCAAAGATTTCTTAGATATAACACCAAAAGCACAATCCATAAAAGGACAAAAATAATTAAATAAAAGAACTTCATCAAAATTAGAAACTTATTCTCTTCAAATGACACTGCTAAGCAAATGAAAACATAAGTCACAGACTGGAAGAAAATATTTGCAATGCATATTCTCATATAGGACTTGTATTCAGAATAGAGAAAGACATCTCAAAACTCAGTAATAAGTAAACAAACAATACAGTTTTTTAAATGATCAAAAAAATTGAACAGACACTCCACCAAAGAAGATACATGGACGACAAATATCTGTGTGAAAAGATGCGGATTAAAACCACAGAGCTACAACTGCTAAATTGAAAGAATTGACTATACCAACTTTTCACAAGGATGTAGAGAAACCGGAACTCTCATGTACTGCTGGTAGGAGTGGAAATGGCTACAGCCGCTTTAGCAAATAGTTTGGAAATTTCCTAAAAAGTTAAATTCACACCTACCGTGTGATCTGGTTTTTCCACTCCTAAGAAGTTACCCAAGAGAAAACATTTATCCAACATATATCCATATACCGAAGAGAAAACATTTATCCATATACTAACCTGTACACAAACATTCAAAGCAGCTTTATTGGTAATAGCCCCAATTAGAAACAACCCAAATGTCCATCAACAGGTAAATAGGTAAACAAATGGTATATCCATACAATGAATACTACTCTGCAGCAAAAAGAATTCACTAGTTGTACATGGAACAACATGGATGCATCTCAAAATAATGTTGAGTGAAAGAAGCCAGACAAAAAAGAATATATACTATATGATTTGATTTATATAGCCTCAAAAAAGAAAGCTAATTTATAGTGATAGAAAGCAGATTAGTGGGTGCCTGGGAGGGAGAAGGTAGGAAGGAAAGATTGCAGAAAGACATAAGGAAACTTTGGGGAATAATGGATATGTTCATTTTCCTGATTGTAGCGATGGTTTCACAGGGGAAACGTCAAAACATCAAGTTTTACACTTTAAGTATGTATAGTATATGTATTATGATTCTTATTAGTTATTCCTCAGTCAAGTTGTTTAAAATGTTAGAGTCATCATGGAAGGAAGTTGAGAACATCGTGGTAGCATCTTTAAGTAGCACCTGATACAGACAGGTGTTTGGGCAGGCACAGGAAACTGTGCAATGGGAAAAGGGAATAGGCTTGGTCCAGGTAAAGAGGTAATGCTAGAATTAAATCATCAAGAATAAGAAGATACCAGGCAGGCAACTAAATGCAAAGAAAGTCTGACATTCCAGGTTAAGGGAGCAACACAGGTAATGGTGTAGGGGCCTGAGACCACAGTGCATTTGTGGAGTCATAAGTGGTTTAAGTGTGTTTGGAGGGTAGGTGAGCAATATAATAGATCATAAAGAGGCGAGATGATAAAGGGACGTTAGCAGATGTTCCTGTCATCAGAAACGTGCTCATAAGCCATCTCTTAGGATGAGTCATTTTCTAGTATTATTTTCTCCAGCTGCTGACTATTTACAGAATTTCCTCTTGTAAATGTCAGATTTAAGGGCTGACATTTTTTGACCTGGACCTCGGGTGCTGAGGTTTGTACAGCCTCTTACTGGGAATGCTGACTCCCCTGACAAGGTCAGTCTTGCTTCTGGCACATTTCTAGACAGGAAAGAATAGGAACTTTAGTCTATCACTGTGTGGTTTGGAATATAGAAACTCTGCATAGAATCTGACTCAGAGCCTGTATATTTAGTAGAGCCAGCCCAGGAGGATACAGTAATTTTTTGTGAAATTGTTTTTATCTGCTAAACTAGCTCCTTATCCTTTTCCTGCTGTGTAGCCTATTTCCTAAAATCAACAAAAATTGAGATGTTCAAGCTCACTCTCTGTATGAATGATGGCTTCTCTGGTCTTCTTACTCTCAGGTAGCACTGACTTCTTCCCTATTTGTGCCCACATTGTATGCTGAATATCAGATTTCTATAATAACACCTATAATATTTTTATTACTTACATATTTCTATATCAGTCACTTCCTGTTAGACCACAGGAGGCAAGACTGTGTAAGTTTGTGTTTCTATCCTCAGCATCCGGGTGGGTGTGCTGGGCGCATGGTAGATATTACATAGGCTCTTGAATGGATGAGAGCTCTATGTGGGCAGTCAGTGTCTCACATGGAATCTGAAAGTCCCACGCTGTGCCAAATACACACCCATCAAGTGCAGGACATGTTTAGAGTTTGGAGCAGGTGCAATCAAGATAGAAGTTGGGCTTTGATGTAATGATGGTAACCTAGAGTGATGTAATGGTGAAAAATAAGGATCCCAGGGGAAAAAATCTTAATACACTAAGGAACTTTGGAACTGGTTCTTTTGTATATTATATCTGTTCTGTAAAGGTTCTAGGGATAACAAATGCTATATTCATGAGGAACCAAATCAAGACTGGGATGCATGCCTGGGAATGCTACATAGAAATGTGAATGTTGGGATTTAATTTCCTCATCTGTAAATCCAGAAAACAGAATTAGGGTAAACCCAAGGACACTGCTAGTTCTGACCATGACCCTATGGTTTGCTCTTTGTGCATAAACCCATATAAATGAAAGAATGTAAGCACATACCTCTTAGAGTGTTTTACAAATTAGAGGAGTGAAATGACAAATCTCTTTTCCTCCTTTGTGGTAGGAAACCTTTTTTGAAGAGCTTTTCTTTTCTTTTCCTTGTAATCCAGATAACATGGGTAGCAGATACAATGACAATCTTCCTATACTTAATAAAGAAGAAACGACTTATAGACTGAAGTGTATTGCTTAAAAAACAAACTAATTTTAATGCTGAAATTAAGAATGCATTTTCACAAAATATGTGAAATACGTTGCATTTTGCTTATTTTTAAAAATTTTCCAATGAGTTTGCTCTGTATTTTTGCCACTATAGTAATTTCATCAAGTAATTACTTTGATAATTTTAAAACTGTTTTACAGAAGATTTCAGACATGCAAAATTAGGAAGAAAAGTGTAATGAACATTCATGAGCCCTCACCCAGTTTTAACTATTTCATAATTTTGCCAACTTTGTTTCAAATATCCTTCCACTTCCTTCCCTGCACCTACATCACATCATTTCAATGTCAATACTTCACTATGAATATAAAGCAGAAAAAAACTTAAAAAAAAATACCCATAACATCATTATCACATTTAACTAAATTCAGAACAATTTCTTGACAGCATCTAATACCTAATCTTTGTTCAAATTTCTCCAATTATCTCAAAAAAATTTTTAGAGTCAATATATTCTAACCAGGATCAAAAAAAAGGTCTACACATTGCATTTGGTTGATATGTCTCTAAATTTCCCCTCTGAAGAAATAGGGTCATTTAGCTTGTAGAATTTACCACATTCTAGATTGAGCTGATTGCATCCTTCCTGAGGGTGGAGTCCCTCTACCACTCCTTTTGCTCCCCGCTCCTCATTCTACTCATTTGTTGAATAGACCAGGTCATTTTGCCCATAGAGCTTACCACTGCAGTTTTGGTAGCTTTGGCTGACTGCATCCTTGCATTGGTGGTTAACATGTTTCTCTGGCCTTATTTCCTGAAAACTGTCCAGAGGCACTTTCAGAATCTGATGAAAGAAATTCTCTCCCTAGAAAGTGACAAATGTATATCGACACACACAGGGAAATATTGCATACAGTTTCAAAGGCTTCACAGTTCCCCTGATGCCACAGACCCCAGTTTGATTTGCCCTCTTAGAGGCTTGATTAGGTTCCGAGGGAGATGAGCAATTTCTGTCCTCGAACTTCTGGAGGCTGTAGGCCTGTGATGTCCCCTTGTCCCACTGGTAGTTATGTTAAGATTGGTGTTGTCAGCCTTATTCTTTCATTATAAAGTTCCCCACCAGCCTTCCACCTAATGATTTTAGCCACTGGCTATTATTGCCTAAGAGTAATCCTTGATTTCACCAGGGTCAAAAATGGTAATTTTCTAATTCCGTCAAGAACTTTTCCCTCATCAGCTATTAAGTTACCCCCAAATACAGTTTCTATTAGAGGAAATAGTTTCCTTATTTGGAATATTTTCTAATTTTTGTAGCATCAATACTAGAAGTTGACAATGAATGGTAGAAAGCAGTGTTAGAAACCTGTTGTTTTCTGTTTCTGTTCTTTTTTCCCCAGCCAAAGTGGGTAACTGAAATAACAAAAGCAAATGCATCAGAGATTTGAATCTTTTCCTGTGAACTGCCTAACTTCATACTGTAATCAAGAATATTCAAAAATCATTTTTAGTTTTACATGCCCATTTTTGCTATTTAAAAATAAACTTATATGCTGTCTTTCTTATAGAGAACATTCCAACAAAGAACGTGTGGGTCTCAGTAAAGAGAATTTATTACTTAGAGGATGCACCATTAGAAACACAGAGGCTGTCATGGGCATTGTGGTTTATGCAGGTTGGTTATGCTTCTGACTTTTCACCATCATCTCCTCTGTGCTTTTCTGCAAGTTAACATTTTCCATTTACTCAAAATGTAATCTCTAGAAGCAGAAAGGAAATTTTGTCTTGATAACCTTAATCATTGGTCTCTGTTTTTCTAAAGAGATCACAAAAAGAAGCTAAATTAACAAAGTATATTGCATAACTCCTTTTCATTAAATTGTCTGCCAGCGAGATATAAAAATATGATATTTGTTACCTGGCTTTAATTTGCACATTTTCTCACATACTGTGTTACCCATGTAGGCCATGAAACCAAAGCAATGCTGAACAACAGCGGACCAAGGTATAAACGCAGCAACTTAGAAAGAAGAGCAAATACAGATGTCCTCTGCTGTGTCCTACTGTTGATTGTAATGTGTTTAACTGGTGCATTGGGTAGGTAGAATTTGATTATTTGCTGACATCTTTTCAGCAAGATACTCATTTAAAAGTATTTTATTTTCAAAATGAAATTTATGAGTGTAAGTTTGACTTTTGTAAGGGAGGTTTTATTTGCCAATAATTGCTTTCTTCACATCTTCATCTCTCTCATTCTCTAACCTGAAAAGCATTAATATTGATTATATCCAGTTACACATGGCCACAGTACTAAAGCGACCTGGGAAGAGATGTAAGGAGTGAGAGAGACAGAGACAGGAAAATGTGTACCGTTTGAATTTGAATTTGTTTCTTAAACAGTTGGTGTTCAACCAAAACCAATACTCTTATCTCTCTTTCTTTAGGAATAAAGTTCTATATTTGCATAATATATACATAGCATCCTTTTGATGTCTGTACATTTTTTGAAAGGTCATGGAATCTGGTTGAGCAGATATGAAAACATACCCTTTTTTAACATCCCTGAGCCTGATGGACATGTCATATCACCACTGTTGGGAGGATTCTATATGTTTTGGACCATGATCATTTTGTTACAGGTAATTTCTATTGTGCTCATCGTAGAATATTAAGATCTTTGCTACTTATCCAGCTCTATATGGTTTTTCATCCCTTCTTTTCCACCTTTAACGTTTTTTTAATTGTTTTGCTCTTCTTAGGTTTTGATTCCCATTTCTCTCTATGTTTCCATTGAAATTGTGAAGCTTGGACAAATATATTTTATTCAAAGCGATGTGGATTTCTACAATGAGAAAATGGATTCTACTGTTCAGTGCCGAGCCCTGAACATCACAGAGGATCTTGGACAGATTCAGTACCTCTTTTCTGATAAAACAGGAACCCTGACTGAGAATAAGATGGTTTTTCGAAGATGTAGTGTGGCAGGCTTTGATTACTGCCATGAAGAAAATGGTGAGTGTTGGGTTTCTATGAAAACCAGCCTTAAGATTGGTCGTTTTTGCACCCACTTAATGATTTGGTAATTCTGGCGCAGAAGTGCTATATTTAATCATTGAGTACTTAACTCCTCCAAATGCTCATTGTTTCATTGTTGTCCCTTTAAAAGTTAGGTCAGAAGTTAGTAGGTCAGGAGTTAGTGGGTCAAAGTCAAATAGTCTACTTCCATGGTTTCTTTTCTTTCCTTTTTTTTTTGCCATGGTTTCTCTAAAAGGAAAGTAAATTACCAGTAGTTGTAGAAGGTTGGGGGTTGGATTTGGTGACAATGATATTGCATTACAGATATTTTTGAGAATCTAATGAAACTCTATGGACCATCTCCCTGAAAAATATTTTGAAAATAATTCCAAAGGGACGACAGTTTCCCCAGACCCCATCATTCAGCCCATAGGTATTCATTGGTCGTTGGCTGAGAATACCTAGTTTAAGAACAAATAAGATGAACTGAACTTCTGAGGCTAAGGAAGTAAATATATAAATTGCAAGTTTCCTTTAAAGAATTGATCTTCATTAATTTTGTTATTTATAAAAGTAAGTGTACTCCTATGAAAGTAATTATGAGAAATGTCCAAAACAAATTAACCTAGAAGTTAACCACCATTAGTAATTTGGTGAATATATAACCATCCATTTCTTTATGCATATTCCTGTATATGTGAAAATATATATTTGTACATTTCCCCTTTTATAAGTTATAATATGTTGTAATAATGCTTTGGAGTTTGCTTTTTTTATTCCTCATTATCTCATGGACCTTTTTCCAAGTCAGTTCATGACTTAACGTTAAGTGCATGGTATTGCATTATATGTGGTCAAGCTTAGTTTGCTTTTATAACAGTACTTGCAATTAACATTCCTTATTCATTGAACAGATATTTTGTGAGCTCCTAATATGTGGCATGAGTCCCTGATCTCATGTAGCTTAGCATTTAAGGCGAGAGATAGACAAGATTAAAAATTATGATATACAAAATAAAATTCATCATGCAGTATGCATTTCTCTACATACATATTTGTGCAATTACTTTTATAAGATACATGTCTAGCAACTGGATCCAGAGGTTTGCACATATAAAATTTTTATAGATCCTACAAAATTTATCTCTAAAATATTGTGCTAATTTATGTTCTCACAACCCAGAAAAATAACACCTATTTTTCACACCCAGCCATAATGGGATGAAGTTATTCTTTTTAATTTGTGAGTTTTGTAGTCATAGTTAGCACTTCATTGTCTTAATTTTTCTTTGATTAGTAATGAGATATTTAACTGTTTAACTTTTTATATGTTTCTGGCCATTTGAATATCCTTGGTAGAGAGAGCATGTCTTCCTATTTAACAAATGAGTTTTTCTTATTCTTAGTAATCTGTAGGAGGGTTTTATCTATTAAGGCAGGGCTGATGTTCAGCTTGTATGCCCCAGTCTAGGTTGTCTGTGGCCCATGTCCATTTTCATTTGTGCACTTATATTGAACCAGTTGTTAAATAATTTGAGTGTCAACCTTGATATTATCCTTTTCTTCTGTAGGTGGCAAATATTAATACTTTCTTTGTTCATCATTTATCACTGTATTAGTTTTCTATTGCCACATAACAAATTACTACAAATTTGATAACAAATTACTACAAATTTGATGGCTTCAAATAACGCAAACATACTGTGTCACAGCTTCTGTCTGTGGGTCAGGAGTCTGGGTGCAGGTAGCTACATCCTCTCTGAGTCTCTCACCTGGCTGAAATACAGGTTTTGGCTGAAGCTATCATCTTATCTGCGACTCAGGGTCCTCGTTTTGGTTTCCTGGTTTTAGAGTTGTCAGTGTCTTGAGGTTGTAGGACTAAGGCCCCTGCTTCCTTGCTGCCTGTCAGCTTAGAGCCATTCTTAGCTCATAGAGGTGGCCTACCATTCCTTTGCCATGTGGCCTCTCTACAGCATGGCAGTTCGCTTCTTCAAAGCCACCAGCTGAACCTCTAGCTTTGAGTCTCTCTGAATTCAGGGAAGTTGTGGCACCTCTTTTTACCTGATGAGGTCAACCTACCTAGGATAGTCTTCTTTTATATTAACTCAGATTCAGCTGGCTAGACACTTGATTATATCTGCCAAATCCCCCGACCTTTGTCAGGTAACATAATTTAATCATAGAAGTGAGATGCCATCCTACAGGGTGTGTACACAGGGGTGGGGCAGGAATCTTGGGGGCCATCTTAGAATTCTGTCTACCACAGCCTCTTCACTTTGCTTAGGGTGTCACGTCTTGTGAGAAGTTTTATATTTTTATTAAATCAGTGTTATCAATTATTATGTCTATTATTAAGACGACAGATATTATGATTTCTGCCAGTAGTGTTCAACTTAGACATCCACCCTGCCCAAAATTTTAAAAATATACTATATTTCCTCTTAGGTAAAGATATTTTAAGCCAGCTTTTGTTGTTACTTGTGTGTATGAAGGATAAAACATTGAGTATTTATCGTATAATCACTGTACAATGTGAAAAATAGCTAATCATACTGGATATGATATTCTGCATTGTTTCATCTTTTTTAGTACATTTTTATTACAAAAGCAATATTTTAGAAAATTTCAGATAAGCCAAAAAAGGAAAATTTTAAAGCCATCAGTAACTCCCACCAGAGCAGAAGCAAGAAGAACTACAGTCCTGTAGCCTGTGGAACAAAAACCACATTCACAGAAAGATGGACAAAATGAAAAGGCAGAGGACTATGTCCCAGATGAAGGAACAAGATAAAACCCCAGAAAAACAACTAAATGAAGTGGAGATAGGCAACCTTCAAGAAAAAGAATTCAGAATAATGATAGTGAAGATGATCCAGGACCTTGGAAAAAGAATGGAGGCAAAGATCGAGAAGATGCAAGAAATGTTTAACAAAGACCTAGAAGAATTAAAGAACAAACAAATGAGATGAACAACACAATGACTGAAATGAAAAATACACTAGAAGGAATCAGTAGCAGAATAACTGAGGCAGAAGAACGGATAAGTGACCTGGAGGACAGAATGGTGGAAATCTCTGCCATGAAACAGAAGAAAAAAGAATGAAAAGAAATGAAGACAGCTTAAGAGACCTCTGGGACGACATTAAATGCACCAACATTCGCATTTTTAGGGGTCCCAGAAGGAGAAGAGAAAGAGAAAGGACCAGAGAAAATATTTGAAAAGAATATAGTCAAAAACTTCCCTAACATGGGAAAGGAAATAACCACCCAAATCCAGGAAGCGCAGAGAGTCCCAGGCAGGATAAACCAAAGGAGAAACACGCCGAGACACATAGTAATCAAATTGACAAAAATTAAAGACAAAGATTATTAAAAAGTAGCAAGGGAAAAACGACCAATAACATACAAGGGAACTCCCATAAGGTTAACGACTGATTTCTCAGCAGAAACCCTGCAAGCCAGAAGGAAGTGGAATGATATATTTAAAGTAATGAAAGGGAGGAACCTACAACAATACTACCCTTGCTGGGTAGATCCAGCAAGGATCTCACTCAGATTTGACAGAGAAATCAAAAGCTTTACAAACAAGCAAAGCTAAGAGAATTCAACACCACCAAAACAGCTCTACAACAAATGCTAAAAGAACTTCTCTAAGTGGGAAACACAAGAGGAGAAAAGGACGTACAAAAGCAAATGCAAAACAATTAAGAAAATGGTAATAGGAACATACGTATCAATAATTACCTTAAATATGGATGGATTAAATGATCCAACCAAAAGACACAGGCTGGCTGAATGGATACAAAGCAAGACCCATATATATGCTGTCTACAAGAGACCCACTTCAGACCTAGGGACACATACAGACTGAAAGTAAGGGGATGGAAAAAGATATTCCATGCAAATGGAAATCAAAAGAAAGCTGGAGTAGCAATACTCATATCAGATAAAATGACTTTAAAATAAAGAATGTTACAAGAGACAAGGAAGGACACTACATAGTGATCAAGGGATCAATCCAAGAAGAAGGTATAACAATTATAAATATATATGCACCCTACATAGGAGCACCTCAATACATAAGGCAAGTGCTAACAGCTATAAAAGAGGAAATCGACAGTAACACAATAATACTGGGGGACTTTAACACCTCACTTACACCAATGGACAGATCATCCAAACAGAATATTAATAAGGGAAAACAAGCTTTAAATGACACAATAGACCAGATAGATTTAATTGAATATGCTACTAAATAACCAAGACATCACTGAAGAAATCAAAGAGAAAATCAAAAAATACCTAGAGACAAATGACAATGAAAACACAATGATCCAAAGCATATGGGATGCAGCAAAAGCAGTTCTAACAGGGAAGTTTATAGCAATACAATCCTACCTCAAGAAACAAGAAAAATCTCAATTAAACAATCTAACCTTACACCTAAAGGAACTAGAGAAAAAAGAACAAACAAAACCCAAAGTTAGTAGAAGGAAAGAAATCATAAAGATAAGAGCAGAAATAAATGGAATAGAAACAAAGAAAACAATAGCAAACATCAATAAAACTAAAAGCTGGTTCTCCAAGAAGATAAAGTTGATAAACCTTTAGCCAGACTCATCAAGAAAAAGAGGGAGAGGACTCAAATCAATAAAATTAGAAATGAAAAAGGAGAGGTGACAACGGACACCACAGAAATACAAAGCCTCATAAGAGACGACTACAGGCAACTCTATGCCAATAAAATGGACAACCTGGAAGAAATGGACAAATTCTTAGAAAGGTATAACCTTCCAAGATTGAACCAGGAAGAAACAGAAAATATGAACGGACCAATCACAAGTAATGAAATTGAAACTGTGATTAAAAGTCTTCCAACAGGGGCTCCCCTGGTGACACAATGGTTAAGAATATGCCTGCCAATGCAGGGGACACAGGTTTGATCCCTGGTCCAGGAGGGTCCCACATGCCGCGGAGCAACTAGGCCTGTGCACCAT